CTGCAACCTCTACCTCCCAGGTTCAAGCGATTCTCCTGCCTCAGCCTTAGTAGCTGGGATTAGAGGCACCCGCCACCACTCCTGGCTAATTTTTGTATTTTTAATAGAGACAGGGTTTCACAGTTGGCCAGGCTGTCTTGAACTCCTGACTTCAAGTGATCCACCTGACTCAGCCTCCCAAAGTGCTGGGATTACAGGTGTGAGCCACCGCACCTGGCCCTGGTGGTGGTTCTTAACAGACAAAGGTCAGTGGCTTCCTGGACTTTCTGAATAACTTTTGCATGAATGGAGAGAGTCCTCAGGGACTTTCCGAACTTGGCTAAGTTTGATATTCATAAATGAGAAGTTTGGTACCAGAGTTTTCTGAGGCCCCAACTCAGTATTTCCCTAAGAAATCTGTCTGAGAAGCAATTGTCTAGCTTCTGGGCCTGCACACACGCACATACATGAGTGTGCACACACATGCATGATTACAGTTTCTGCAATTTTGAGGAAGCCCTCAATATCACAAGCGTTGTTGCCATGAGTTTCTCACAGTTTTCAGCTGCTCCTGCACTCTTATTGACAAATACAGCCTTAGAAAGATTTACTGCTTTCTTTTGTTGATGGCTTTGTTCCTGCATTGATCTATCACTTCCATTTCACCATGCCCTTTCTGCATGGGAAAGCAGAAGCAAGTCTGGTGAGCGGCTGCCGAAAACCTTGCAAGCCCTGGCTGAAGAGCTCGTGTCTAGAGATGGCCTCACTCAGTTGATCTAAGAGGCTTCCAGATAGCCAAGGGGTCTGGTGGAGGGTGACCTCACAAGGAACTGAGGACGTGGGAAACCACCCTTCACGCAGGTGAAATAGACCAGCAGGTGCAGGCTTGGCTCCATCTAACATCAGGGAGGCCTCAGTCTCTGTGCCAAGCTTGTGGGGTGCAGCTGGCATGGTCAGCTGTATGGAGCTAATGGGCAGCTGTATGGAGGCCCATCGGCTTAGGGGCTCTGAAAGCCTTTATTTTCGGGAGAGCCCAGTATGCGGACAGCAATGTTTTCTCTAAGGTGTACAGCATGGAGCCAAGGAGGGCAGTTTTTTATTTTTGTTTTTCAACAGAAGCCCATGGGCAACTCACAGCTGCATAGGTGGTCCAGAGACTCCAGGAGGCTGGAGGCTGCCAAAGCATCTGCAGGGAAGGGGTCTCCGAGTGCACTAATGGGAGTGGTAGCGGGGTTGGGAGGATGTGAAGCAGCAAGGTGTGCAGCACAAAGGAGACCTGTAGGCGGCAGCTCCCACCTGAGCAGCATCAGCATCGAGGCCAGGGTTTCACTTCTGTACTGGGGGTGAGGGAATGGGGGAGCCCCACAACACCTTCTTTCGCAGGAGTTGCTTGAAAGACACAGAAAAGCCAGGATTCTGCCCAACTAATTGTGAACACTGATGTTGTAGAAGTAATGAGCCCTAGGACGGGCCTCCACCATATACATAGGAACGCTCCCCGCTCCCCCGCCCCCGCCACAGGAAGAAAAGAGCTGCTTTGGTTCTCATCACTCCCCTCACTCTAACGTGGGCCCCCTGGGCTGGTGTCTAGTTCTGGAGTTTGGACAGTTAGCTCTGTTCACTTTGAATTGTCCCATGCTGAGGACATTTGGGTGGGGAGAGACTTGGCAATCCCTGGCAGATTCAGTAGCAGGCAGCTTGGCTGAAGTGCAGGCTCGAGCTCTGCCCCAAGCCCTCTTGAGGTGGCCTGGGAGAAAATGGCAAGCCAAGGGCAGTCCCTGACAAAGCTGTCCAAGAGCCAGCGCCACAGCCATGCCATTCTGCTCACAATGCCGATTGTTTTGTAATATTTCAATGTTCTTTTGACAGTGGACACAACACAAACACTGGAAGAGATGAAAGGCGGAGCTTTTTGTTACTGACAACCCCGAAAGAGAGCCAGCTGCGAGGCAGGGCCACACAGGGGAATCACTGGGGGATGGTGGACCAGCAGGCCGGGGCTGTCAGGACACCTCATGCATGGCAAGTGGGGTGGCTTTATGGGCTCCCTGGGAATTGATTCACTGACACAAGTTTGCAAGCTCAGGAGGCTGAAAGGCATCCCTGGTTGTCGGGAACTTCACCCCAGGCAGTTAGGGCAGGTGTATGGTGGTCTGGAGAGACTGTCATAGTGACAGCCCCCTAAGGGAGGTGGTTGGACTGTAGACTTAACTGCTCAGGAAATTAAACTAACTGATCTCTAACCAGGGCTGCAAAACTGGGTCAAGACAGTGTGTATATATATATATATATATAATGTTATTACAACTGGTTCAGGTGGCAGAGGCCTCTTCCAGGCCTGAAGAAGCCATACCTCAGCACCCAGGACCTGCCCACCCCTGCACACCAGAAGAGGAGCGCCCAGGTCGAGGCCAGTCCTGGTGATTCCAGTCTCCCTGCTGGTTGTTAGCTAGGGTGTAGGCATGCGACACAGCCCGGGCAAAGATAGAGTTGATTCGTTTGGTTTCCACCCGCACATTTACTCTACTTGCATCAAGCACAGGCAGAAAAAAGCATTTTTTCTAGGCACTATTGTGTGAACAGGGAATTTGCATGGGATAGAACAATGTCCCTTCCTCGGGGAGCTTCTGGCCTAGGGAGAGAGCTCTGCTGTGGGTCAGGGTGTTTTCAATGGCTCCCACTCACCCTGCTGGTAAGGAAGGGATTCTCACCCCAGGGTTATGGGGATGGGCTAACACACGACCTCGACACACTGGACAGATGACAAGGACAACAGTCTGGGAGAGGAGGACACAGGGCCCATGGGTGCTGCTGTGGGAGCAGAGGAAACCAGCAGGGGCTGGGGAGGCAGGCTTTGCAGTACTAAGGGGATGGGGTGACCCTAGTTCCCGTTTGATGATGTGACTGGCTTGTTTGAATAATTCTGTGGGGTGGCAGGGAATGGAAACGCAGGGACAAGCAGGAACGGTGCCCAGCCCTCTTTGAGAAGGAGGGTAGAGGCTTACAGAGGGGAGCTTGTGGTCAGGACATTTAAGGCCCTCCCGGTTTTACCAGATGTCAAGGCAGCACATAATGTCATTAATAATATTAGTTTTAGGCCTTACACCACAGAGGGCTGCTTCAGGGATGTGGCTTTTTTATGTTCTTGGGCCTTATTGTGTAAAGACATGATGCTTGGAGCTGCTGCAGCCTCTGTGAGAAGATGACTGAAAAACCGCAGAAATGACAGAGGCCAACGCGGGCCCTGACTAGGGTGGAGCTGCTGAATTACTCAGCCTGGAGGTGCTGCCCGTCCAGCCTTTCCATCATGTGGGATGTGGCACTCAGTTCCTTATTGTTTTAGGCTTCTCTGGGTTGGGATTCTGTTCCTGCCACTCGGAAGTAGCCTGGTCCTGTGCTCATACTGCATGATAGCGTGTATATTGTGGCCCTAGCTCCGCAGTGCTGAGGAACACAGAGCAGATGTGGGTTCCTTCTGCGTCTGTGCATGTCTCTGTGCAGGTCTGATGATATCTGGTGTGCATCCTTTTTTTTTTTTGAGACAGAGTCTTGCTGTGTTGCCCAGGCTGGAGTGCAATGGCACAATCGTGGCTCACCGAAATCTCAAACTCCTGGGTCTAAGTGATTTTTTCTTCTTAGCCTGCCAAATAGCTAAAACTGCTGGTGCATGCTAACATGGCTGGATAATTTTATTTTTATTTTTTTGCAAAGACAGAGTTTCATTATGTTGCCCAAGCTGGTCTTGAACTCCTGGTTTCAAGCAATCCTCTCACCTCCTCCTCCCAAATGTTGCGATTACAGGCATGTACAGAATGCCTGATGTGCATTCTGTACAAAAAATATAACAAGCCCCAATGTCTTATTGGAGGGTAACAGGAGGAGGAGTCCATGTAGGGGCTGGTCAGTCCCGGAACCAGAGTGTGGGCCTTTCAGGAGAGATGTCCCCCTTGTGGGGACTGCAGACCAGTAGGGCTGAGGTGAGTCTTTGGCCACTCTGGCAGCAGGGGAAGTCAGAATCAGTGACCCACACTGGTCAGCCAAATATGACGAAGCTTTAGAAGAGCAGAGCGTCCCCTCTGTTGTTGTCACTGATGATCTGAAGACCCTTCTAAGTGCTGATTGATGACCAAGAGAACAAAGTGCTGGTACTCATGACTTGGGTCCGCACCTGGAGGTAGAGGAGCCCTCTAAAGGATGGCAGCCTATCTCATGGCCAACAGTAAATTACCTGTGTGCTTGTTGGGCTTGGGGACTCTTCCTTGTAACCAATGACTTACACACAAGGTCGCTGGTACAAGGAACTCTTTGCCAGGTTTCTGGTTGGTGGTTGGTCACTTCTGTCCTCTAAACCCCACCTGCCCTTCTGAGAATTAGAGGAATGGTGTGGCCACTTATTGAACACATATTAACTGGCAAAGGTTTTTTACTTGTGATCTCTAAACCTTACAACCTTCATTATAAACAAATGAAGTGATGCTCAGAGAGACTAAGTGACTTTCCTAAGCCCACACAGCAAGAAAATGGTGGTGTGTGATTTGAACCCAGGTTCCTTCTGGAATGCAAAGCCTGCTCTTCCCTCTGGCCATCATCCGTGTAGCGAATGCTTTGAACAGTTGCCTCGGTGGCAGGCTGTTACTTCTTCCATGAGCCTCAGTCCCCTCATCTGTTAATGAGGATCACAAGAGTTGAGAAGGCAGTGTCTGATACCTGGCACAGGGCAGCCCTTGACTACTGATGCCAGCACCTCTTCATGACCTGCCTCTGGGTCAGACTCTCACCCTCTTTAAAAATCTCCCTCCACAAATGGGAGGCAAAGAAGAGGATGACACTAATGATGGCAGCATTGAGTCAAGACTAAGGTCTTAGAGAAAGTCACAGATGATTGCATCGCTTTGTTGCCCACCACAGAGCCCAAGGCACAGAGGGCCTCTCACCCTGATGACTCCCAGGTACTGGAGCCGGAGGCAGTGTGCACGGGGTGGGGCTGCCAACAGACTGTAGGCTTTATGGCCAGTTGAGAGACCCTGGAATGTAATCTGGGCTTTCATCACTCTGCAGCCGGAGCCGGGCAGGTCACCACCAGCCTGCGCTGGGCTGGGCTGCTGGTCACCAGGGAACTCTAGACTTCTGTCCATAGCAGACTGCCAGGCCTAGAGCCCAGGGAGCCCAAGGTAGGACTGATGGAGTGGGAGGAGGGAAAGCTGAGGCCCCTACTCCTCCAGCTTGTAGGCTCGGGCAGCATTGGAAGGGAAGCCTGTTCTAACGGCCTCCTCCAGGTGGAGGGAGTGGTGTTTAGGGGGCAAGGACCACAGGAGCCTGAGAAATGGCCCTCAGTGAGCTCCGTGAGGCCTACTGGGTGCTGGGTCACATGGCATGAACTCCAGACCCCTTCTACCATCTGGTGACTGTGACAAGTTCTTTCACACTCATATGTGAAGCAGGCATCCTGGTGGTACCTCCCCGTGGGGTGGTTGAGGGGTTAAGGGAGCCTTTCCTATCCTGAGCCCACCCCATATGAGTGACTCCTAAAGGATGATCACAGCATTCATTACCCCCGGGAGGGCCTCCTGTCTCTCCCCTCTCTGCATTAGCTGCCCCAGCCGCCTTCCCACCCAGCATCCAGGCTTCCAGCCCCCAGAACTGGGAGACATAAATGGCTGTTGTTTCAGCCACCCAGTCCGTGGTATTTGGTTACGGCAGCCTGAGTTGATCGGAGTAGAGAGCCCACACCCTCTGATTTCTGCTGGAAGTGGTGACAACAGTGCTCAGAGCTACCATGGCTTTGTGCAGCAGCCCCTGGGCCAAGCCCTGATGTAAATGAGTTCCCATCAGCTCCATCAGGGCAGCAGTCACACAGGCGTGCCCAGTGTAAGGATAAGGCAACAGAGGCAGAGAGATGGAACAACTTGCCTAGAATCACAACGGTTAGAAAATGGCAGAGGAGGGATTTGCACTTTTGGGCTCCAGAGTTCAGTCTTTTTTTTTTTTTTTTTTTTTTTTGAGGCAGGGTCTTTCTGTGTCGCTCAGTCTGCAGTGCAGTGGCGATCATGGCTCAGTGCAGCCTCGACCTCCCATACTCGGCTAATGTTTTTTTCATTCTGTTTTTGGACATGGGGTTTTGCCAGGTGTTGCCCAGTCTGGTCTCAAACTTCTGGGCTCGTGATCCTTCCGCTTCTGCCTCCCAAAGTGCTTGGATTACAGGTGTAGCCATGGTGCCCAGGCCAGGGTCTAGGGCCTTAATTACAGTGTTCTATTCTGCCCGAAACCAGCTCAGTTGCCTCTGGGTCTCAGCAATTCAATTTTTAAACTTGCTGTTTATATACCTACAGTCTGTGAAATATACACAACACATAATTATGTGAACACACTGCCTGGTCCCCTTGCAGGGCCATGGAAGGGACCGGCCAGCAAGGGCCCAGCTGCTGAGGCTGCACAGCAGCAAATCCTCCCTGTCCTGAGCAGAGCTCAACCTTACAAAGAATTGAAGAGCAGGTTTATTAAATAATGGGATACATGATGAATTTTGAAATTATTGCCCAGATAATACAACTTTAGAGCAATATGTAAAAATTGTGACCCCCTAGGGGAGGCAGGTGTTATCTTGACTAGACTTTCCCTGTTTAAGTTATACTTATTCTTTGATTCCACTTTTTTGCTCACAGTGCTCTGGGCTTTAGGGTCACTCTGGCTTCCTCTGACTGGCCCCAGAAAGGAGGCCTCCTTCATGGCAACTTTTGCTGTCCTTGAAGAAAGTTTTCGGTACAGGAAAGGTTAACCAGAGATTATTCTGCTTTATAGAGTTAATATCTCACTCATTAAACCCACACATTCAAAAACCCAGTTTTTACTCAGGCATTTAATTTCAGCCAGCAAATTTTAAAATTGTACATATATATTTTTAAAATCTTACATATTTTATCTAACATTTTTTGGCAATTGTTTTAAGAGCAACTTTATTTCTTAAGGATTAAATTCCCTTAAGCCTTTAAAATTGTATTTATAAACAGAATAGTTTCTATTTTTCTTTTAAGTATTCCAAGTATTTGAATTATTAAAAATCTTCCTGAATATTTAAGCAACTTATGAATCTAATAGGTTAAATCTAGAAATAGAATGTGTTTTAAGTTCTCTCGAGTCTTCTAATCCTGCTTATAAATTTAGGACATTTTAACTGAAAATCACAAATCTCAGCTGATGACATATTTTAAATTAGAATCAAAAAAGTTGAATTTTTACTCCATTAAGGCTAATTTCTTTTAAACTTGAAAAACACCTAGAATTTGTAAACTATGTGCAAACATACAAGAAATACTATTATTTTGGGTTTGGTTTATTTAATAATTCTCTACTTTATTCTGACCATTTCTGGGCCATGGTGACTCAGAGACAGGTCAAGTGACAAGTGACAAGTCCTCAGGTGTAAGGACAAGAATGCAAATGGCTCTTCCTTAAGTGGGAGAAATGAGGAGTCCAGTGCCTCATTATGCCAAAGAATCACAGAAGAAACTGCATCCCACTAAATGGGAAATACGGTGCTATTTGCTAAAACTTGGAAAAGAGTGAATGCGAACCTCTCAACTCTCCACAACTTCATATGCTGCGGACTAATTTTAATCATAGCCACAGCTGGGGCAACATAATTCCCAAAGCAGAAAAAGTCCCAGTTTAACCAGGAATGTAGTGTTAAAATAATTCATAAGGAATTCTTTGAAACCAAATCCTTTGAAATCTAATTCCCGGGACTTCTAGGTTTTTGTAATTAACATATTAATTTATTTCTTCAATAAATTGTTAACTTCAAAGTTTTATTTAATTTGTATCCTTATTAAATTTATTAAGTTAATTAACAATGGGCTGGGTCTGTAGAGAGCAAGCCATCCAGGGCTTATCGAGGGCCACTAGCCGGGGCTGCTCCCCTCCCTGCTCTTTAAGTGATTATAACAGAAATGGGTGACCTTAAGTCAAGCTGGAAGGGGGTTTCATTACACCTGCCTTGTAGGGATTTTGGGATCTGTCATGGGGACACACTATAATGTGTACCTTCAATAAGACGGAAAGATGTTCAGTTACACTCTACACATATATACACATCAAAGGGAGGGACCCCATTTTGCTTTGCATGTGTGCAGTAGATGCTTACACGGAAGGTTCAGTGAGGGCAGACAGAGACAAGAGGCTCTGCATTTCACGAAGGAGCAGATCTCTACAGTGTCCAAGGAGGAGGGCCAGGTACAAGCTGCTGGAAGCTGAAGAGCAAGTTCTCAACTTGAACCCTGAGGGCACAGAGGACGTTACCACGCAGGTGCACAGCTATAGAACAAAAATGTCCTGTGATAGAAACTGGAGTGCCTGCTGAGAGTAGAGCCATCTCTATGTGTGTGATCACAGTCCTGTGGCATCAGGTGTGTCATGTGCTTGCTGGTTGTTGAGGCCCAGAAAGGGGCTTTTGGAGGTGGCTGCTAGGCAGCACTGCTGTAGGATATACTTAAAAGGAAGCTTTTGCCAGGACAGGGCAGGCAGCTGTCCTGGGAACCCCAACCCCACGATGCTTCTGACTTTCCTCATCGTTAGCGTCTCCTTTCCTGTCAAATATCCCAGCAGATGTTTAATATTAATTGTGTTTTTCTCCTGGGGCAACCACCTGCAGAATCTCCATGGAGGGGCTGGGAAAATGCTTTGCAGGACCCCTCAAAGCTCCCTCTCATCAAGGGAAAAAAGGCTGAGAGGTGGGCATGAGAAAGAACTTTGTGGGAGCCAGGAGCCATCCCTGGGGGAGCAGAGGGGCGCAACTGGTCTAGTCCATCTGAGGTAAGGGCTTTAAGGAGGCTGCTGGGAGAGTTTAACCTGGGACCCTGCAGCATGAGGGACAGAGAGACTGGCCTCAGACCCAGGACTGGATGATCCAGAGGGTGAAGGTAGGCTGACTGTCTGCCTCTCATGCTGGAGCCCACGTGGGTCATGGGGAGGAAGAACCAAAGAGTTCCCATTGGCCAGAGGCCAGGTGAGAGACTGAGGTGGCCCAAGGTGGTGGCAGCTCCTGTGGGAAGAGACCACCGGGGGCTGGAGGTGAGACCGGCTGCCCAGAGGCCAAGAAGGGAGTGGGCGACCAATCTGAACAGAGCGGCCTTCTCCTCCTCAGAGCCTGCAGCCAATGGTGCGCCGTGCAGCACCTGTTGTCGCAGGTGGAGGGGAAATCTTGGAAGGAGTCAGGAGAACACCTATCTGAGAAAGAGATTGTCTCCACCTCTGCCAGGGCAGATCCCATCACAGGCGCACCGGGTGAAAGGTTCCTGCCACTTTCTGTTCTCCTTTTCCCGTCTCCACACTGGAAGGGTTGGAAGTGGCTTTGAGGAGAAGGGCGGTGAAGAAGAGTGAGGCAGCCCATTGTGCCATCACCACCCCGGCTGCAGCAGGCTGGAGGGGGTTTCGGGGGCTGGCAGGAGGAGAGGGGGGACTCCATGTTGGATCCAGTTTTTATCACCTAAGAATGACCAGACTCTCTGCTGTGCTTTCATCCAGAACAGTAGCTGCCCCCAAGAGTGAAGTAAAGGGGTGGTGGGAAATTCCCGTGCGGCTGCTGATGATGTCCTGTGCCATTGAGGCCCTGCATAGTCTGTTGGAAGGGAAAAAATGAAAACGGGAAAGTAACCTTCATCCTCCTCCCCTCACCCCTTTGAATGCCAAGCAGAGGCCTCCTCCCAGCCCTGGAAGAAACCTTGGCTATGTCCTTGTGCTGTGGCGTCGGAGAGAAAGATGACCCGAGCCCAGTGGCTGCATACCTAAGCTTCCATGCTCTAGTGGCCACATTAGAAAAAGTAAAATGGAACAGGTAGAATTAACTTTAATAATGTATTGTGTTTAGCCCCAAGATCTTTAAAACATTATCTCTTAAACACATACATTAATACAATAATTTTTGAGATGCTTTACTTTCTGTTCCAGTTCTTTGAGGTTCGATGTGTATTTTACACTCACAGCACATCGCTATTTGGACCAGCCTTGGTTTGAGGGCTCAGTTGCCACATGTGGCCCTCAGGTATCAAGGAATGTTTTTGTTTTTCAAGATTGGAAAATCCAGTCCAGTCTGAAACCAAAGCTGCAATCCTTTATCCAATCCAAACACCCATCTCCCCAGCCCAGGCTTAAAAACCTTCAGTAGAAGGGGTGGCTTGTCTATGGGGGCTTTTCTCTTTTCCTCACTTTACCTTTTCTCCTATTTAATAACTGTCCTTTTGGCCTCCCACTCCCCGCACCCCTTCTCCTCTGCCCAGGGGCAAAGGCTGAACCCTAGGTCACTACGGCTCTCTGAAGTTCTCTCCTCCAGGTTGTGCCCTGAGCAGGTACCTTCTCTCATGCTATGGTGCTTTTGCAGTAGGGGCCGCACCTGTGGTTCCTTGATGGGGTTTTTCCTTTGCTGGCTGTTTGCTCTCAGCTTTGGCCTGCTGGCTGCCTACCCATCTGGGATTCCCCTGGTGGGGTACTCACCTTGCCTATCCAAGCCATTTAGGCCCCTTGGAAACGCCAGTTCGTGCAGCTGACCCCGCTGCCCAGGGAAGGCCAAGTGCTCTTGCTCCCTCTGCTGTAGAGACTGCAGCTGCTATAGCCCTTGCTGTTAGATTTTCCAGGCACACATCCTGTGTTGGGTCCTGGTGCTCCCCTCCCAAACTCCAGGGACCCAGCCAAGTTCTCTGAGCACTCTCTTGACACTCCCTGTATTTGACTTGGGGTATGCTCCTGTCTTCCCCTCTGTCATTAGCATGGGCAATGCACTGATAACAGTGCATTGGAAAGTCCTATATGGCTGGACCTTTGTCATGGGGATCCTTTGGCATGTCCTGCTCTCTCCATGGAGAAGCCAAGACCCCATATTCACCCAACATATTTACAGATACAGCCAGGAAGGACGTGCCACACCAGCACCAACATATTCACGTTGGCCATCGTGGGGGCAGAGGAGCATTCCAAGTGATTTCTACTTTTACTTTATGAATTGTGGAATTTTCTAAAATATTTTTAAAAATTCTATAATTTATTATTTCTATAAGGATTTTTTTTTAAAAAGAAAAACCAATAACTCCCTAGAGTCAAATAAAAATAAAAACCAAAAAATATACATCAAGAAGGAAGCTCAGACACCAGGACCTCTTGTCTTGTGATCCTCCAGCCCTGAGGGCTGTGCTGACTTCCTATGGTCATTGATCTGTGGGTTACCTCTCGTCCCCCTTTGTACTCCTTCTGCTCTCAAAATTATCTGTAATCAGGCCCCTGAATTAAATCTCTGCTTTGTGAAATACCCAGCATGGTTTCTGTTTTCCAGACTGGACCCTGGCTGACTCAGGCATGTACTTTTCAACCTCAGCCTGGTCAGCTCAGGGCGTGACATCCTCCTCCTTGCTCTTCTCTCTGTAGCTCCTGGGTGGCTCATATATGCTTTGGCCCAGCTCTGTTTTCTGCCTCCCACAGAGAGCAGGTGCAGGTCATAACATGGAGCATCTGGCCTAAGGCCAGTTTGGCCAAACCTGTGGCAGCCAGTGACCCCTACAGGCTAGGACTCCTGGTCCTAGTACCTAATGTCCTGTGCTGTGCCTGGTGTTGAGGTCCCCCAGGGGACAGGGCATGCCTATAGAGGCCTGTCCACTCTGTGCAGCTGAGGAGCAGCCTCTTAGACCTGAGGCCTCAGGCCACAGCAACATGAAGGCCTTGACTCCAGGCTGTCCACACTGGAGGACAACTTTGGGAAATTTAAACTTACTATTTATTTTACTTTAGGTTCTGAGGTACAGGTGCAGGTCAGGTGGGGTTGTTGCACAGGTGCATACATAACCAGGTGGTTTGCTGCCTCTATCCCCCCTTCATCTATATCTGGCATTTCTCCCCATGTTATCCCTCCCCATCCTCCCCACCCTCCCCACCCTCTCCACCCCCAGCTTTACCTCCCCATCCCCGGCTGTCCCTCCCCTAGCACCCCCAGTATGTGATGCCCTTCTCTCTGAGTTTTATCTTTCAGATAAGGAAACAAAAGGGAAACAGAAACAGTGAAAAGAAGTGACCAGCTCAAAGTTACACAGTGACTGACTTGGAACAACATGGCCAGATCCCAAGCCCCTGCCTCCTGATCCAAAGCACTTTAAGAAAAAATACCCAAAACTTCTTATTTTGAAATCATTATAGACTCATACGCAGCTGTAAGAAATAATACAGAGAGATCCTTTGTGCCCTTTGCCTGGTCCCCCTCCATAATAACACCTTTCGAAACCATGGTACAATATCACAGCCAGGACATTGGCGCTGATACATGCACCAATTTTCAGATTTTCCTCCACCATCTGTGTTTAAGGCAAGGTCGATTAACTTTTTTCTTCTGTTGCGGATGCTTTTGGCATCATACCTAAGAAACCTTTGCCTAATCCAAGGTCATGGACATTTACTCCTGTGTTTTCTCCCAAGACTTTAGTAGTTTTAGCTCTTATAATTTCTGTCTTTTATCCATTTTGAATTAATTCTTGTATCTGGTGTGAAGTAAGGGTCCATCTTCTTTCTTTTGCTTGAGGAGATCCGGTTGTCCCAGCACAATTTGTTGAAAAGAGTATTGTTTCTCCACTGGCTTGTCATTACATCCTTGTCAAAAACCAATTGACTGTGAATGTGTGGGTTTGTTTCTGGACCCTTAATTCTATTTTGTTTCTGTGTATGTCTACACTTTTGTTAGTACCACACTATATTGATTATTGTAGCTTTATACTAAGTCTTGAAATTAGGAAATGTATGCTCTCTAATTTTGTCCTTCTTTTTCAAAATCAAAATTGTTTGGGCTACTCTGGGTCCTTTGCATTTTCACATAAACTTGGTCAGTTTGTCAGTTTCTCCAAAAATTGCCATTTCCCATTGGGGTTTGCTAGGGGTTGCATTTGTTTTTAGATAAATTTGAGAAATAGAGGCTTCTTAATATTAGATCTTTCAATCTATAAATATGGGTTTCTTTCCATCTATTTGGAAGTTTTAAAATTTCTTTCAACAATGTTTTATAGTTTTCACTATACAAATCTTGCTCTTTTAAATTAAATGTATTCCCAAGTATTTTATTCTTTTTGATGCTATTTACAAGGAATTTTTGAAAATAGTACTTTTGGATTGTTTATTGCTAATGTTTAGTTGACAATCACTTTTAATAGGCTTTGATGAATATTTGCTTTTTTTTTCTTCTTTTCTTCCTTCTTCTTTTTCTTCTTCTTCTTCTTTTTTTTTTTTTTTTTGAGGCAGGCTCTTGCTCAGTTGCCCAGGCTGGAGTGCAGTGGCCTGGTCATGGCTCACTGCAGCCTCAAACCTCCTGGGCTCGAAAGTCCTTCCACCTCAGCCTCCAGAGTAGATGGGACCACAGGCATTTGCCACCGGCTAATTTTTAATTGTTTTTTGTAGAGATGGGGGTCTCACTATGTTGCTCAAGCAGGTCTCAAACTCCTGGGCTGAAGCTATCCTGTGCTTCAGCCTTCAAAGTTCTGGGATTACAGGCTTTAGCCAGTGCACCTGGCCAATATTTGGTTTCGATCATAAACTTGACTAAGGAAATGTTTTCCAACATTCTAAGCTGGCTTTATAAGTTTAATATACTCATTTTCCTTTTTAATTATGTCAATAAATTGGTTTGGTTTTGAGTCTCTTAAATGAGTCTTTCTTTTTTTTTTTTTTTTTTTTTAAGACAGACACTTGCTCTGTCACCAAGGCTGGAGTGCAGTGACACTATCTCAGCTCATTGCAAACTCCGCCTTCCAGGTTCAAGTGATTCTTGTGCCTCAGCCTCCTGAGTAGCTGGGACTACAGGTGTGCACCAACACGCCCAGCTAATTAAATAAGTTTTTGTATCTAGTAAATTAAATTTGAAGTATGTTGAACTTTACATTATCTTAAATGTTCCAACACTGTTTGCGAACTTAGATTTCAGTCTAAAACCAAAAGGCTAAAGCGACTATGCAATTCCACACCAGAATCTGAGTCCCTCATTTCTAACATATTATCTTCAGGAAATTCCAAATGTGCAGACTTCTTCTTGACACCCAGATACTATACTAACACCTAAGCATTCTTTAGCTTGCCCAGATCCTTCTGGGACTGGCATGTGTGCGCCTGCTGTGAAGGCCCATTGCCCTCCCAATTGCCCACAGAACTTGTTGGCAGTTTCACTCACTCACCTAAGGAGTAATCCAAAAGTCTTGTTCAGTAATTGTAGCTAGTTCAAGCAAAAAGAGTGACCCAAAAAAGTATGTAAATAAATGGAAGCCCAAGTTTCTCATTCAGTTTTTAAAAAAGACTTGGTTTTTATGTTTTATATCAAATCCACCTTTAACACTTCCCCAATACCTCTAAAATTACTTTTATCATAGTTAAATATATACAGAAAGGTAATGATTTTTTCACGACGCCTCATATAATTACATACTTTATCCAATTGTTCAAAAAAATTGTATTATTTTCTATGCATTCCATGATGTGTGAGATTGGGAAGTAAAATATAAGAAGGTTCTACTGTGCCAGGCTCTTGATCCACATTTCCGTATTTAGTTCTCACAATAGAAGAGAATTGCCCAGGACAAAGCCTCTGACTCCTGATTAGTTGGCTAAGAGACACTTGCCAAAGGAAGAAATGGCCTATACCTACCATTCACACTTTAGTGTGAATTTATTTCTAGAGCCTTATTTCTACTTTCTGTGTGAAATGAAAGGCAAATGTTTCACTTAAGCTGCTGTAGTAAGAGACATTTATGATGCTGGCTGGTTCTAGTTGTCAGGTGTTTCGACCTGGTGCTGCAGAATACTCTGGCCTAATTCAGTGCTGAAAATGGAAGCCTTGGGCCAAGGAGTCCACCTTGCCTTGGCTGTTTTGAATGCACCTGGGCAGGAGGGGAGCCAAGAAAAAAACAGCCAGGGC